ATCTATTTTTAATGTGTTATAAAATAATACGGTTGCACAACACATATTAAAAATTCTTGTTAGTAGCAAAAATGTGCACCAATCCAGCATTGAAACCATAATAGACATTTTATAACAACACTATCGATCCTAACATAATAGAATCCAGTACAGGACCCAGTATAGAACTCAGTATAGAACTCAGTATAGAACTCAATATTTCAAATAATAGCCGACAAATTTTTGCTGCCGGTCTCCTAATTATAGATTGCAATAAAGCTACTCGATATGGAAGTTTTCTCCTGGCCAAGATTAAATCCAAGAAGTTAAGATTGAATTAATGTGACGAAAGGTCTTATCTTTTTTTAAAAAGAATTCATTTTCCATTTTCTCAGACAGATTCATCTTGTGGAGACAGTAATACAAGACATTGTAGCCTGTTAGGTGATCTGCCAACTGCCTTTACTTTGTTTTATTGAGACAATACGACCTAATACATTACAGTATAATGACAACATTTTGACTGCCAAGTAAGCTACCAGCAGCAAGAATTTTATTTTTTTGAAGGAATTTAAAAAAGGTCTTTAACCTAGCGCTGACTGGAGTCTTACGGTATTGATAACTTACTTCAGTTACAATTCTCTATTGTATAAATGATATAAACAGAAACTTACTATTATATGTCTACAATATAACTACGATTCGTATATTTAAAAGAATGATTTAAACCATTTAGGATTGTCCATAAACAAGTTGTTATTGATACTGTAGTTACAAGGCACCCAGTAAAACTACTAACTATTTTGCATACCAGTTGTTACAGCATGTCATTGTAGATTATAAGGATTCTCGAAGAAAAATTTCCAAAAGCATAAAGATTTGAAGAGCGTATTTATAGACCTTCAACCAGTTCTATATAATAAAAATCGTTGTAATGGTCTGATCTTTGCAGGCTGTGCCCGTGACAATTGTTATTGATACCAGCCAACCAGGAAAGGAGTACACTATTTTTGCTTGCCAATATCATAGTAAGCTTGCTTCCCAATATTATAGCAAGCTTCCCAATATCATAGCAAGTAATACCAATTTTATAGCATTCTATCAAGATCCTTGAAGAATGGTTTCAAGAAGAGAATATTTTGAAGTTAATTTTATGAACCTATAAGAAATCAGATAATAACTTATTTAATGATAATCATAGAAGCGATACGGTCCTTGGAGAATTATCTTGTTGCTGTTGATTCCAATATGTTCTGCCAGCATGAAAAGCTCTATGCTTTTTTTCTATGCACTACAAAATATGACAGTCTATTAATACACCCAAAAAGAAGTTCTAAGATGACTTTATTTTGAAAAATTCTTTTATGGTCCTTTGCGAAATTCTATTTCATTGAATTAAAGCACTCCGTTAAAGATTCGTTTTTGCATGATTGCCCAATGACTCGCTCCTATTGATTCTAATAAAATCCTTATAATAATAATAATTCTTATTGATTATTGTCCAAAACACGGGAGTCTATCAATGTCTCGAGGAGAGCTGCCAAGATAATGTTTAGAAATACTCTTTTATTAACCTATTAGAAATTCTATTTTATGATAATCGTTAAAATGGGCAGGTCTTTGTAGGATTGTGTACAAACATTTCATTGATCATAGCGAGATCAGCACAAAAGCATTCAATCAAGCATCCAAGAAAGCACTTATATATTTTTCCTGTTAGTTGCTATAGTATCATGGAAGTTTTTAAGAACCTCGAAACGGAATTTCGAAAAAACAATGCTATGATGAAATCTTTCCACAATAAACTACGAAAAATATTTAAAAGACAACTAATACAGATTTTTTTCTTGATCAGAGGAATGAAATTTTTATCTTAATTTTATTTGCTAAACAGCATATTTTATATTTGTTCAACAGGAGAGGAAGACATCCTTTGTTTACCAGCAATTGCTTAATCATGTTAACAATTAAACAAAGAAATCATCTGTTGCTGACGGAAAATACTAAAAATGAAATTGGAAGCAATTTTGCAACTAACATAAATGAAATAAACAAATTTCAATTGTAAAAAAAATTCATTTTAATTATCGCTAAACTGAAACATAGAACCAAAATGTATCTACATGTGAACAATGAATGTGCATCTGAATCAATGTACATACTGTACGCAGCCAGAGATGCTGTTGGAAATGCAGCAATGGATAAACGCCCAGTGCATAAATGCTATTAAAACAACTATAAAACCTTCAGTAACCAATATCAAATCGCACTGAACGAATTCGAATGGAGCAGCCAGCATGGAATCGAATTGAAACTATAAACGCCAGCTCCATGGCATTTAATAGAGTTTATTTCGGTTTGACGCTCACAATGTTTGCAAATTGCACTTATTCCTCAGATACGAAATATTCTATATGTTCGTTTTGGTACTATTAAATATTTTTCAAATATTTTTTTCTACACTAATGACATTTTTCAAATTTTTTTTAACAGAAATTTGTTTTTTTTTTGTTTTTTTTGCATCGATTCTGACATTGCTCCGTTTTAATATTAGAAACGGAGCAGAGTGTACGGGAACATATCATCATGTTGACAGACAAACAATGTTTCTAATATTTAACACAAAAATTCCAACCGAACGAAATGAGAAAAAAAAACGAAAAAAAATTTTATAAACATTACATCGAGATATAGATAAAAGATATATAAAAAACTGGTGATAAAAAATGGATTTTAGTTGTGAATATCCATTTTGTAGCTGCTTAGTTACCAGGAGATAGCTTAGTGCAAGCTTACACTGACGACGCCGGCAGACAAGGGAACCCGATTTCACTTGCGAATTTTTTTAATTTCGTCCAATTTTCAATTTCAACTGTCAGTGTGAGATAGAAAAAAATTTAACAAAAGTGCAATGAATGATGTCTGATTGGTGTCGGTGTAAAATGTTAAAATTCAGTGACAGTACAACAACAATAAATAGAAAATGAAATTCCATGAAGGACATGGGAAATGAAAGATAAGTCCTTTTTAACATAGTGAAGGAAAAAAGGACATTACACGAATTTGATGAGCTTTAAGTGGTCAACGAAATAAATACCATTAAAGAAAATTATATTACAAATAGAGGAAGGCATATTTTGTTTGGGATTTTAAGGTATTTCAATAAGGAATAGAAGAGTTACAAGTATTTGGATTAAAAATTAAAAATATTAGGTTCGAAAAATGCATAGGAGTTTATTGTTCCAGGATTAAAAGTCTCCATATGCAGTCTCCATATAAACATTAAACATTATATTAATGTTTATCAGTGCTTCCAAAACTAAGGAATTTTAAATGAATGTTCTTATATCTGAGCAGTAAACTTCCATTGCAATCTCAAGATAAATCAGTCGTTAATGAAATACTAGAGTCAAATTAGCGTCTGCTTCTAATTGATTTCTGAATGACTTATATCATCCGACTAATCCGACTATTAAGACCTACATGATCTGATTATCATGTAACCAAAACATAATATACTATATACAGGTTTGGGCGATTGAAGTGTTACCTGTTCAAGCGACCATATCTTTTTTTGTGATATTATTTTTTAAAAAAATAATCAAAAATTCAGAATCCATTCACTCTAGCTTGATGTAGCCACCTTTTATCTTGACTACGGCCTTCAAACGGTTAAAAAATGAGTTGCATGTTCACAAATGTGATCTTCCGGTATTTTGACCCATTTCTGAACAATGGCTTTCTGCAGCGCTTCCATACTGCATACTGGCACATTTTTTAGTGCCAAAAAGCACAAAAGGTCAATTTCCTATTGCACAGTATAGGTGGAAATGGACGCACATTGTCACAGATATATAGCTATTTTATATATATAAAAGAAACATATTTTTATGATCCCATAATAATAAGATGTGATGTGATTATATGATATCCAAATATTAAATATTAATGTTAGATACTATATTAAGAAGTTGGCATAAGAAACGCTTTGAAACAAGTCTTGTATATTGTACCAAGTATATTTTCTATAATTACTTCATTTTGCAAATAGAAGATTTAGTGTGTTTTCATTTAAGAATTCCTGAACTTCTATTATTATTACATCTAACGCATTATACGCGATCCTCGGGCTTTTGTCTTCTCTGCAATACTTTAAAAGACATTTGTATGGAAGAAATGCTGTGAAATTAAGAAAAAAAAGAAATTGAATCAGAGAAACTGAAAAACTGAAACGAAACCAAACTGGAGAGAAAAGTTTACGAGCTCACAAATATTGGATGACCAAATTCGGTGACCTCTAATATTTTTTTGACATAACATATTAAGTCGATGCCATTGAATAATGTCTGTGAACAGGATTACTTTTCACCTATCAAATAGCATTCATAAAATTCATTGTTGATATTTAGATCTAAATTTACTTGAGCACAGTAATCAATATCGGATAAAGTACCATGTGTACAAAATAGCTATGTAAACATTGGCCATGCAGAGTTAGCTATTTGACCATTAGAACAATTGTTGACAGCTATTTTTAATTTGTGGCAAGTATCAGCGAGTATGGTAGGTAATCCTTATTCCTGACACCAATAATAAAAGTATAGAAGTTTTCATTATATATTATTATTATTAGTGATACATTATTATTAATTAGTGATAATGCATGTTTCCGAGAGTACCTAATATTTTGTCCACCTAAATCATCCTGAGTATTGGTTTTGTCCAATAGAAAGCATGGAATAGATAATAAATAGGTGTCTAAAATTTTAACGTAATATATGTGGTAAATTCCACAAAATAATCAAAGTCTTTCCATTCTTTCTGATGAATCAAGTTGTGGCACACAGCGTTAAGTAAAATGTGTTTTAAGGCATCTGTGTTGAGAATATACCAATATACTAATATATAAATATATATTCTACTTGTTATACATAACTTCTTTTACGAAACCGCATAGCAAAAATAAAAACTATAATTGAACAATATTTTGTTTTTCAAAATGTATATATATTTACAAACCAAATTTTTCTGAATCTTTTTACCAAATATATGAGAACAATAGAATTTTTTTAAACAAGAATAATTTACCCAATTAGAACTTCTCAAAGCAATATATATTTTCGGTCCGAATTTGGGTCTTTGCATTTTTTATAATTCGGAATTATAATTAGAGCCTCTTAAAGCAATATATATTTTCGTTCCGAATTTGGGTCTTTGCGTTTATTATAAATCGGTGGATACTCACTCATTTCATTCATAACACTTTTTGTCTCCGGGTCGATCAAAGGAAAGTCTCGTTCACGTCTTTTGCTGCGTTCCGCTTCGAGCTTCATTGCAAGGGCTTTTCTTTCATCAATTCTCTGTTGATAAACTTTCAACTCAGCTTCAGCTCTCTCAAGATCAACACTGCTACGAATAGTACTGCGCTTTTCGGCTCCAGGATCTTTTGCCAGAGGATCGAAAGTTTTTGCAATAATACCCTTTATCTTACCTTGGTTCTTGGGAAGAATTTTTTTCATAACGCCTGTCTTTTTAGCAGGTACCTTTGATACAATTGGCTTTTTGATCACCTTTGCAGTTGGTTTTGTTTTAGCTGCATTCTTTTTCACAACTGGTTTCGAAACGGGTTTCTTTCCACCTGTTTTTTTCGGCAACACTTTCTTCGCTACATTTTGCTTCTTAGCAACCACTTTTTGAATCACCTTCTTTTTAACCGGACCAGTGATACCTTTCTTAGCCTTTGTAACATTTTTAATCAGCCCTTTCTTTACTGGACTACGTTGACTACGTGCACTACGTGGTGAAGCCTTTGGGCTTTTCTTTAAGGGCGGTGTAGTTACATTTGGTTTGTATCTATTGACATTGTATTGCCGTCCAAAAATGTAGTTGTTCACAGTAGATAAAAAGGCCATGCGATGTTGTAAGGTTGTTTTTTTTGCCGAAAGACCGTTTGGAAGCAGTTTTCTTCTAGGACTACCAACGGATGTTGGCTTCGGATATCGATGTTGCACCTTTGGTTTCTTCATCTTAACAGGTCTTGCGGTTTTTGGTTTCGGTCTAGGAAGTTTAGGCTTTAGCGGTTTCTTTATTGGTTGTTTTTTCTTCAGTGCCGTTTCTTTAGACTCCTTTTTCTCTCTTTTTTCAATGTCTTCATTCAATATGTCCAATATAGAATTTAGCTTACTGTCTATGTTAACATCTTTTTTTTGCAATCTTTGTTCTGCAGCACGGGAAGTAGAAGGCATTTCTTCTGACTTTGACAACGTAACATTGGTTGCTTTGTCTGCTACAGTAGGCCGGTCAACATGCTTTATTGGGGCTGGTTTTTTGATAAACGTTACCTTGGCTTTGGATGGAGTATTACTGACAGTTTTGGTCTCGTTATTGCCTTTATTCTCCGCCATTGCTTTTTATGATTTATTATCGTTCATTGAAAACGAAAAATAAATAAATGTTAAGATTAAGTTATAATAATTTTATTTAAATAAATTTTTTTTGAATTTATATTCGTAATTTCATTAAAAAATTTTAGTAATTTAATATTTAGTTCAACTTGGCCAACTAGAAATATTTTTTTGAAAGAACCAGTAACTTATAAATGTATAATAATTCCTCTTTTACGTTTAAGGGAATATGTTGTGTTAGGTCATTAAGGGCGATTTCCACAGTTGTAAATTAATAGTGTACCTACTGAAGTCATGCTTAAGTCAAGAAATTTGCTGTCGAAATTGACACTCAAATAAGTTTAGAGATTTAATTTAGAACTGTGATATCGGTTCTATAAGATAGCAATTTACACGGACTATTTACACGGTTTTGGCGAAAACAATTAAGAACTTAAGTTAACATATCAGCATTAAAGAAAAATATATTATTTAAAACGAAATAAGAGAGTTTCCTTGGAGAATAGTTAAGGAAGGTATTTGATAAATCAAGGACTTGATATAAAGCATAGTTTAATTTATGATTTTCTTCATAATTATACTGAAACGATATTTTGAAAATTTCGCTGTTAATATTATGGAGTAACAGCCCAGAATTTATTTTTACAAAAATATTTACTAGAGAAATTTTTGAAAAGTTATAGTGCAGGTATATCCACCGAATTGTTAATGTATTTAACATCTAAAGTAGCTAAGGACTGCAAAGGTGATCAAAAAGCCTAAGGAAGGAAATAAGTGTACTTCATATCCACCCTGTGTGTCCTAAATTGCGATCATCTTCCATGAAAGTTTCCTATAAATATTCACCTAATATATTCAATGTACCCCCTTCAATGGTTCTGGTAGGAACCATTACGACAACCCAATATTTTCTATATGTAAATAAGTGTAAAGTATAACTAGTATTTATTTTACTACTTGTTTTTTAAAAGAAATTGTATGTGAATTTCCAAAAGCCAATACCTAGTAGCCATGTTTATAACTATTTTACTCAAAATTTAGTAGAATTGATTAGGAACGTCAAAATTTTTTTTTATATTAAATATAAAATTCTAAATTTTTGATTTCTTGCGGGTCTCTACAGTTTTATAAATCTATTTACATAAACCTATTTTAAATTTTATGCGTATGTCTTATTAATTGCAAATTCTATATAACTATAATTATGCTACAGTTTTTCTCAAGTCAATATATGTGGTTAAAGGCTTATATAAAGATATCTCTAATTATAATACAAAATATAGATCTGCGATCGTGCTAATGCTAATGTTAAAAGTTCAAGATGGAATATATTTACTTACCTTATTATGGTAAAGATTTGGTTCAAATAATTAGTGACTGAGTTGATGAACGACTAAATGATGGAGAGGTCTACATATAAACAAATATTATAAATTAAAATTGTATTTTATATTTAAAACTTCTTACCAATTAATCCAATCCACCGTTTATTCTCGCTTCTATATGTAAAATTTTTTTTTTGTTTCCTAACTCGAAAGAGTGGAAAAAATTTAGCTGTAAAATATATGAAACTAAGTCTACTAATAAAAATAATATCTGTTCAACAACAAATTTTATTTTAAATGAAATTAGTTTTTCATTTTGACAGTTCTTGCACTACCTACTCAGCACTAATTTTCAATATTGGCGAAACTTAGTTATTTAATATTCAAAGGTTACTTCATCTTTTTCGTAGTAGTCTTGATTTGACAATATGCACTTAACCGGACTTTCCAGACATCAAGGTCCTGTTAGCTAAGCTTTTAAGAGCACTTTGCTATTTCGCCTTCTTATCATCCCTAATTAAGAAATGCCGGTACTGAAGTTTATTTTAGAGTTTGTGGAATTGGAAAATGTTGTAGGACATCATGCATGTACGATAGAATGCAATGTTGTCTCTAAGAGGGAATTAGTAGACAGAACCCCTCCTTGATATTATTATACATAATAAAAAAATTTGATGACCTACAAGTATATTGCCAAGAAAATATTTTTTATCAACCCACTATTCCTCCTTGACCCTATTTTGGTTACGGCAGGATGCTTCGCCCGAACTGTTGGATAAGTTACAAATTCATGGAACAAACTTGGCTACTGTCAGTTTTAGCTCCAAAATATTCGTAAAAATCGTTTCACATTTCACCGTTTAGTACATCTTTTCAGTATTATACCAGCATTATAAGAATTCTGCTGTTAGTAAGAAGAATATATTTAATATATTCTGTCTGTGATTCCTATTTCTTTAGAGGAATTTTTTATCTCACTGCCTTCAGTATAAAAAAATCTACTTGATTTTTTCTACATGTTCATCACGTTTTGGACGTCTTAAAGTGTCTAGATCTTTTACTCTTCACACCTTCTATATTCTCCCTTCTCATAAACTCTTAGTTGTAAGAAAGCATGATCAACCAAATCCTCTTTAAAACTGTTGAATGATTTGCTGTTTTTAATTTAGTTCCTAATATAAAACGTTACATAAACCCTCTTATTTGTCATATTCTGTCTAACTGAAATCACTGAGTCCACAAATGTACGTCAGGGTCATTCGCTCAGCCAAGACAAAGTGAGCATAGCTGTTACTTATTAGTTACCAGTTACTTTACTGGCAACCCAACCAATACATAAAAAATGACTTGAATTTTGAGAATTTAATACTTTTAATATTGAGGGTGCTGTATTATGCATTTCGTATATCATGTGAAGTTTTTATTATATGTTGATTATCATCGTTTGCTGTAAAACCTTGAAATGGCATATTGGATTAATATAATATAAAACGCTTTTAATATATAACAGAGTAGTTTGCAAACATTTTTAATATAAAAAATTTATTAAAAAATAGAAACACCTTCAATCATTCAAGAGAAATGTGTTGTCTTTCCAATTTACTTGTCAAACAGTTTTGGAACATCGGCCAAGTAAGCAACATCTGTGTATCTATTAGAAATTTAATTAGAAATATTCGGCATGTTGCCATCGCCGTACCATGACATTTAGCCAATAGCAAATTGTGGCTTAACCACCAATTTTTCTACTTTTAATACTTTTCGAAGTAAATTTTTCCCAGTACTTTTTTCTTCTTGCCCTACAACCTACTCCAACTGCATTCAACCATAGTTGACATATTTTATATTTGTTTGCTGTCAGTTTTTCCCGTCTTTTCTACGACACCCAACTCCAGTTCTCCCTTCAAGCTAACACCCTCGCACTGCCGCAGTGCATTGTTGCCGTCTTTGTTGTTGGTGAAATTTTTCACATTATTAGGGTTTTTGAACGAGCGCTAAAAGAGTGACTTGCAGGCTGGAGGTATGTGTGGCTTCTGCATTTTGCTTCCATTGCTTTGGTTGGCTGGTGAACCCTTCTTTCTTTCATTCCTTTGTTAGCTGGTGCCCTGCAGCATATTTGATTTTTAGCATAAATATGCCCTGTGGCTGCATCTCCAACCAAAGAAATTTTTCAGCCAGTTTGCAAATGTGTGGCACATAATGTCAAAATGCTTGTAAATATTTTAAATTACTACGTGATTAGTATGAAGGATGTTGGCTTAGGGCACTTCTCAGTGCAGCTGCATATGCTTTATTGAATTCATAAAGAATTTTGCTTCCAAATTGAATTAATCTCCTTTGATATGCAAAGTTAAGGTAGAGTAATTCACAATAATGCCAGGACTTATAGGCAATTATGTATAATTTCACACGAAAATAGTACGTATTTATTTTTAATATATTTACACAATTTATATACGTTTATAGTTTATATATTGGTTATTTTCCACTGTTTTAAATGTCTAATAGAAGGGCAAATTACAATATAATATAATTTTTAATTATTTAAAATGTTTGGCCCGTTTTGAGTGTTGTAAAATACTCATCATCAGTTGTCTAATATTTATTTTTGTTTTAACAACGATTTGGAATAATTGTTCGACTATAAGTCACAGTTTAAACCAATTAACTTTTATGAAAAGGACAAGCTAATTTTTCAGCCGAACAAGGTAAAACTGTGCAAAATTTAGTATTGTGTAGTTCAAGTTTTAATTTAGATTCAGCTTTAGAGTTTCTGGTTTCTTAGAGAACAATAGTCAAAGCAATTCCCGATTTTTTTAATTATAACAAACTTATATGCCATAGCTTATGGCAATCAATTGTTATAATTTTTTAATTATTAAAGTTTCAGTACTATTTCTTTTTTTCTGCATAGCTGGCCTTAAAAATTACTGGCCTTAAAAATTCATTTCTTACTAACAGAAACTGTCACGTAGAGAAAAACTTATTATGACACTTATATGCTATATTTGAGAAGAGGCAATAAACCCATGTAAAGTATTACTTTACTATACTACTTTTTATCGACGCAACACGGCTTAGAGACTTAATCTAAATCCAGAAGTGGGCACAATAGACTCGATGGTCGCAGTGCCACATTCAATAGCAATAATAATAATAATAAAGTGACAGACCTAAATTAATCTAAATCCAGAAGTGGGCACAATAGACCCGATGGTCGCAGTACCACATTCTACAGCAGTAATAATAATAATAAAGTGACAGACCTAATTACATAGTCATGCAAGGGAAATTATTTAATAAAATTTTACTTAAAAAATATTATTGCACATTATAGTTTGTTAGGTAATTACCTGTTAGTTGGAAATAGAATGTCCCAAGAAGAGTGCAGTAAAATGGAATTGTTTAACATTATATATAAAAAACTAATTACATTTGTAAAAGTGAAAAAAACTCAAATTGCATAACAACAATTTAAATCTAGATCAAATAGAACTCGCTCTTAATAAAAAAAATTATAGACAAAAAACTGTCTATAGTCCGCAGCTATACCAACTAAGTTTTCAACCACAAAGGTGCCCTTAGTAATTTAGAAGTTTGCAAACCTGATCATTTCAACTGAGGTTCGAGTTCTAATTCCAATGAGACCGAATGGAAACATCAAAAAATTTAAATTTCATATAAAATTAATATTTAGAGGTTTAAAAATAGATCTTGTCCCTAATAAAATAAAATATAGACAAACAAACCATCTAGAATCCACTGGTCTGTCGACTCAGCTATCGAAAGTAGTGGTAGTCTTTAAAGTGTAGTGGTTACTTATTTTGCTACTGATGAGTGCGATAGAAGTAATATAGATAACAAAGAAAGTGTATAGACGAAGAAACCATATGCAGTCCACCGCTTTATCGACTAAGCTATCGAAGGATCTACGTTCAGTAATCTAGTACTTAACAATCTCGATCATTGCTACAGAGGTTCTATTTCGAGTTCCGATGACAGTCGGCTTCGTCGCCAAACGGTATGGTTTGGCAACATCACCTGAAATGGTTCGGAAAATGAAGGTTCAATTTGAATAAAATCTATGTTCAAATGAGGTAATCAAATATTTTAAAAATAAAAAAATATTTTGAAAATATACCAGCGAAGGCCATTGTCAAAGCAAAAGGTGGCTACATCGAACTAGAATGAATGAATTCTGAAAATTTGGTTATTTACACAAATTTTTTGATATAACTTGACTCAAAAAATAATTTCACAAAATCAGTTATGATCGCTTGAGTAGGTAATTGAGTAGAGTAGGTCAATTGCCTAACTGTGTAGAAATAGATATGAATAAGATGCAAAATACTTCTTTATATGAAGATGCTATTATTTTTATTCTTTTATTTTAATAAGAAGTTGTTAATTAGTTAATTTTAAGCAATTTTTTAAAGGATTTCCAATCTCTTTAGTCTCATGCTTTGCATATCTAACCACACTTGTAATGTATATACTCCACTTATTTTTTTACTGAAACTTTTCATGCATCATTAAATCCCACTTACTGTATATTATATACATTTAATACACATACTTCATTTTGTTACAGTAGCAGAGTTAATAAGTACTTAATATAATCACAAAAAATATAAACTAAATCAAAATTTTCTCAAAGACTTAGAAAAACAAATTTGTAAAAAGTGTTATTTTCATCAAGCCAGTCGGAAACATGATCCGCTTTAATATATTTTCATATATTCTCATAGAGCAAATACCTAAACTTCATATTTCATGCTCCAATAAAGCCAAGTACCTTTTTTTATTAAAAATGGCTTACGACAATGCAAACGAACTCGTAGATGCGTCATTTTAATAAACTCAATTTTCTAAATCTGAAGATTTTCTAATATTGTTACGTTGACAAAGCATGAATGTAAAATGCGAGAGTATACCAGTGCCATACTCATGTACTAGAGTATACCTGAAGAGCATGTAAAAATGACGAAATTCATAAAAAAAGGCTACATAAAATAATATCTCAAAGTAGAAAAAAGGATATTCAAAAAATAAAATCCAAAAGCAAAATGTTAAAAATGTAAAGTAAAACTGCAGAGTAAAGTTGCTGCTGCTAACATTGTTGCAAGGATGTGTATATTTTGTGGAACAACACAGAGGTTTCATTATATAAAATATAAAAATGGTAACAACATAAGAAAAAAAAAACAACAACAAAAGCAAAAATAAAAAAAATTATTAGTAAAATAACGTAAAGAAGAAA